CTCGACCTGAGCTTCCCTGTACCTTTATTGAAAATTATCAGGAAGTAAATCACAAAGAGAATTCAATGCAAATGAAGCCAAGCTCTTTCTACTGAAAACCTTCTGCTTGACACAGGGGTCAGCAAATACAAGGCAAGAATCCCATAAACCCTTAAGGATGGCCGTAGTGCCTCAGGGGGAGTTCCATCCTGAAATAGCATTCAGTTTATTACAAATATTTAGTATTGGCTTCCCATATTAACCCACCCACCCTTCCATTCATCCATTCATTCTCCCCCTGTTCTCTCTTCCTCAACCACTCATTCTTCCATACATCTCTCCATCATCTATATAATCCTTCATCCTCCTTCCATCCATTTATCCAGCCATCTATCCTTCCCTCTACACCTCCATCCATCAACAGATTAACATCCCTCCCTCCCTCCATCCAGGCATTCATCCTTCCTTCCATCATCCCTTCATCCACTCATTCATCTACCCATCCTTCTCTCTTTTCTTTTTTTTTTTTAAATTTATTTTATTTCATTATTTTTTGTATGTACTGTCAAATCAGATCTGACTGGTACAGGAGGAGATTGTTCCTCCTCCAGCAGAGCATCTGGTGGATTCGAACCGTGTATATCTGAGATTGCAGTTGCAGCTTCTTGCCACTAGGCCACCAGAGCTCGCCATCCTTCCCTCTTTTCATCCCTCCCTCCATATATGCCCTCATCCGTTTATCCATCTTTTCATCCATTTGTACAATAATGAAAGAATATTTTTTTTCCAAAGTGAAAAGTAAACGGAGTGGGGGGTGCAGGGAGGAAAATGTGCAACTATGAATGAATGGAAATGCAAGTTCTCTATAAACTTTCATTAAAATCTCATTTAAAAAAAATATAGTGAGTGACTTCAATGGCCACATCCTGTTTAAGATCTTACAATGTCAGCATTAAGCACCTACTAAGTGCGTGGGTTCTGCACTCTGAGAGTTCTCAACAGAAGCCTGAACCCTGTCCCTATTGACAGGAAGAGGTCAGCACACATGAACAAAACATTAAGTGCTGCCACACGATGACACTGCGAGGTGGTGGGCATATAACTGCTGAGTGACAAGTGGCAGGACGCCCGAGCTGGAGGGTCCTTCCTGGAGGAAGAGAGGTGGGAGCTGAGCTTTGAAGGGTGTTTGAGCTGTAGCAGCAGAGAGGGGCCAGCCGAGCAAGTGCCCAGACGTCAGAAGGCGCGCTCTGTATTAAGAGGCAGGTTGGCGTGGCCAGAAGGACAGTTATTAATGGAGGAGAAGTGGGGTGGGAAAGACCAGAAAGGCATCTACATGAGACGGATCAGGGTTGTCAAAGTCAGGCTGAGGAGTCTCTCAATGTCCCTCTCAAACCCTGGGAGGAGGCACCCCAAAATCTCAGTGGGAGCCCAACTCTCCCCAGCAGCAACCCCAGATGCTGTCAAGGCAACCTCTCAGGGCAAACCTGTGGGTGTCAGATTACGACTGTGCCCCATGGGATTTTCAGAGGCTGGTTTGTTGTGTTCTGTTGGGGTTTTGGGAGTTTTTTTAGTTTTGTTTTTTTCCCCCAGCTGATTTCTTAAAAGTGGACTTCTGAATATTTTTTCCGAGGTGCCTCTCTGTGGACTTGAACCTGCAACCCTTTGTTTGGTTAGTAATGAGCTGGTCTATCATTTGCACCACCCAAAGCCAACAGGCCTGCACCGTTGAGCCAGTTATGACTCAGGGGGACACCCCCTTGGGACTCTGAGCCTTAGATTTCTCCCGCAGAGTAGCCAGAGGATTTGAACCATCAACTTTTCAGTCAATAGCCCAACGTTAAGGTGCTACACCAGCAGCCTCCTTTTTTTTATCAGTTAATATTTCATTTCAATAACACGTGTTCTGTTTAAACAGTCAGCAAGGCATAAAGAGAAAATCTTCAGTGAATGTTTACATGCATTGTGAACACATGCTTTAAATGTGCAGTGCGATCAAAACAACTCTGAGAGATCATCTCACCCCAGTCAGAATAGCAAAATGTAACAGAACAGCGAACATCAAATGCTGGCGAGGTTGTGGAGAAACTGGAACCCTTATTCACTGTCGGTGGGAGTGTAAAAGGGTGCAACCACTATGGAAGGCAGTATGGCGCTTTCTCAAGAAGCTGGAAATAGAAATAGCATTTGACTCAGCAATTCCACTATGGGAATTTACCCTAAAGAAACCATGACCACCACCCAAGCAGATATATGCACACCCATGTTTATCTCGGCTTTGTTCACAATAGCAAGGAGTTGGAAACAACCCAAGTGCCAATCAACAAACAAATGGATAGAGAAGCTGTGGTATATTCACACAATGGAATACTATGCTGCATTGAAAAACAAGGAACTCATGCAATATTATTCAAAATGGGTGAGCCTGGAGGACATTTTGCTGAGTGAAATACCTCAGTCACAAAAGGACAAATATTGCATAGGGCCGCTGTTGTAAAATGGGATGACATCAGGGTTGAGGGAAGACAGAGAAGGAGGGGAAGAATGATGCATTGAAACAGATGAGGGAGAGAAGTGTTTAAAAGTGATATATGCTTAGGTATTATTGTCATGACAGGAGTCCAGAATGAAGGCTGCACAGTGCAACATTTTGAAAGTAGTTATATTTGTCCCTTTGGCTCACAGGGTAAGAGAAACTTCCTTATCAAATTGAAGCCCTTTGAGAGTGCTTGTCTGGCCGCCCACACCCCCAGTCTATAGCTAGGATTAACACCCCAGTGAAAGCCCTTGGTTGATGTTCGTCTGTGTACCCTACAATCTAAAGCAGCCGAGAGCAGTTCCTTCTGGGTCATGATACACGGAAGACACCAAGCTCTCTCTGAACCCCAACAATACCAGGCCAGTCAGTCCAGGGCAGTCCCTGGGCCTGAACACCTGAATGAGGGAAGATGCGGTAAAAGTCCTTACCTGTTCCACTCTCCTGCATCTCACTATAAGTTCCTGAAGTCTTCAAGATGAGAGACACACATGGGAAGTTCGTATTTTGTCTTCTTTATGCTGGTATCTAATAAAACTTCTGTACTAAGTCCTGCCTCCCAGATGGATTTTTCCATCAGCAAGCAGGTAGCAGGACTGTACTCGTCCACTTAGAATGTCAACTCTCCCAGATCTGGCTTTGAAATGGCCAGTCACAGCAAGAGTCTCCTCTTAAGCCTGAAGACCTATGAGTTCAGATGGATTCAGTGCTCCCTTAGCCCAGGGCCAGCCTGAGGAAAGTGCTGGGGAAACAGTTAGTAGACTGATTAGTGTGTTTTCAAATGACACCCATCCTTAAAGGAACTGGAAGCAGCAAACGGGGGCAGCCCACTGAATGGAAGGAGGAAAAGCAGGGATCTGCTGAGCACGGCTACAGATAAGATGTCAGCTAGGACACTATCAGGAAAGGACCTGAGGAAACCATAAACCAAAGAGTCCAAAATACGTCAAGGGCGTCTTCAGTGAACGAAGTCTAATTAAGTTAGTGGATAAAACCTAGAAAAGCCAACCTGGAGGTCTAAATGGGGAGAAAGGAGGACGTTGTTATTGTTGTTAAGTACCGTGAATGATCCTGTGAACAACGGTCTGAACTCCGCCCTATTCTGTGCCCTCCTCCTCATCTCTGCCACACTTGAGCCCATCGCTGCAGTTACTATATCAATCCACCTCATCAAGGGTCTTCCCCTCCTTCGCTGACCCTCCGCTTTTGTTCTTTTTTTTTAATTGAGATTTTAATGAACATTTATGGAGAACTTGGATTTCCATTCATTCATTGTTGCACATTTTCCTCCCTGCCCACCACCCACCCTCAGTTTGCTTTTCTCTTTGAAGAAAATTCTTTCATTATTGTACAATTCTCCACCCCCCAAAACCCCAGTTTACTTTACTATGCAGCTCTTATTCTGGACTGTTGTCATGTAAATAATACCTAATCATATATTTCTTTTAAGCAGTTCGTTCCCTCATCTGTTTCGATGCAGTGTGTATTATTTATCCCCTCTTTTCTTAGTTTCCCCCACTCCCATGTCAGTCCTGTTTTATAACAGTGAAATTATGCAGTATTTGTCCTTTTGTGACTGAGATATTTCACTAAGCATAGTGCCCTCCAGGGTCACCCATTTTGTATAATATTTCATGAGTTCCTTGTTTTTCAGTGCAGCGTAGTATTCCATTGTGTGAATATACCACAACTTCTCTATGCATTTGTTTGTTGATGGTCTAGGGTTATTTCCATCTCTTTGCTATTGTGAACTATGCAGCAATAAACACATGGGTGTGCCTATATCTACGTGTCTGGCAGTTCTGATTTCTTTAGGGTAAATTTCCAGTAGTGGAATTGCTGGGTCAAATGGTATTTCTATTTCCAAATTTTTGAGAAAGCGCCATACTGCCTTCCATAGTGGTTACACCATTTTACACTCCCACCAAGAGTGAATAAGGGTTCTGATTTCTCCCCAACCTCGCCAGCATTTCTTGTTTGCTACTCTGTTGAATTTTGCTGTTCTTACACCACAAGAAGATAAAGGTAAACAACCCAATCTCAAAATGGGCACAGGATATGAACAGGCTTTTCACCAAAGAAGTCATTCAGATGGCGACCCCCCCCATTTTTCCAAGCTACATGTCATTTTTCAAAGCCTGGGCCCTCCTAACAACAGATCTCAAAAAAGACAGAGGGAAAGGGGGCCCCATAGGGACTGGAAGCCAGAGGCTCTTTTAAGTTATGGAGCTGCAGTACTACTCTCAACCAGACGGGGGCGAGAGTGCTGAAATGGAAAGGCCAAACGCCTACATGAATCTTGACCCGTCGCAGAGACCGTAGCCGGGTCCTTCCGGGGGGGAGGGTTTAAGCGACAGGAAGCGGAAGTCCAGGCCTTTTCCGCTCTCTTCGCTTCTGTCTGCTGGCTGTGAGTATCTTTGGTCGTACGCGGTGCATCGGTACTAATCCGGGGCAATCCTACGCCGGGTGAAACGTGGGGATCCCAGACATGGGTCGAGGGGGTGTGGGGAAGGGAGGTGGGGTGCCCACGGAGCCGGGATCATGGAGGGAGGGGAAGGACGTGGTTCGCCGCCAGCCGTTCCCCACTAACATCCTGGAATGCTTTCGCCGCAGGTCCCGGCTCGCGCCCGCAGACCCCCACACTCGCCGCCATGGTGAGTACGACCCCTGCGTGGAACCCCCTCGGGAAGTGGGCGCGATCCCCGAGTTAGGCAGGCTTGGCAGGGGTCCCCGGATCCCCGAGAGGGATGGGGGGACGGGACTGTCAGAAAGACAGTGGCAGGGCATTCTCATACAGTGAATCGATCCGCACGATCCTGATGGGGCCCCCGGGACCAAGTGATGTAAAACGGGGTGACGTCTAGGGGAAACTGAGGCTGCTGGACGTGTTGGTGTCAGGCTCGATCGGTCCAGGAATTAGGTTGTGTTTAAGGCCACCGTTTACTGAAGTTAACTAACGATTGTTTTTCACCGATTATAAAAAATTACTGCCTCCAATCCCAGAGGCGCACGGTTCAAATCCACCAGATGCTCTGCTGGAGAAGGAGGGACAATCTTCATACACAGAAAATAATAAAAAAAGAAATCACAGCCCTAGTCACGTTAAACCGAGCAGGAGAGGGGGGAGTGTTCACATAAAAGCTACTAAATGTTGAGTCCGCTTGTATAAGTTAAAACCAAGCTCGCTTCTAGTCGATTCCAATCAGGACCGTCCTGTGGGACCACTGGTCGTGGGATTCCCACGCCTGTGTTGGTGACATGAGCCCACGGCCAGGACTTTACTCCCAGGAACAAGCAGCTGCTGGATTTGAACCACTGACCTTTGAGTTGGCAGTCGAGGGTTCTGCTCCCTTGTCCTGAAGCTGCTCTGAGCTACTTGATGGGGCAGAGGCTGCATCTCAAGCATTTAACCTTCATTTCTTTCCTGTGTGTCGCAGCCTCGCAAAATTGAGGAAATCAAGGACTTCCTGCTCACGGCCAGGCGAAAGGATGCCAAATGTAAGTGATCTGGTGGGGACTGAATGGTGACAGCCGCTGGGTTTGCTGAGCTGCCCCCCCCCCCTTTTTTAAATTATTATTAAATTTCATTAGTTTTAATGAACATTTACAGAGATTTCCCCCCTCCCCCTTTTGCTGGTTAATTCGCGAATCTCCAACCCATCAGGCAACTTAGACTTGGCTGTGGGGAGCAGCTGCCCCTCCCACCACAAGAAACACTGGGGAACCTGAGGTGGTAGGAGGAGGAACTCTTGGTACTGCCTTCCTTGACTCCTGTTAAGCATCGTGGAAGACTATTTTGCTTTCATTTTGTTTGGTATACAGTTGGTGCTCTGCATGTGAGACATTGTCTGGAAGCCTGAAAGTAGCATTAGGGCTTCGCGTGGCCTGAGTGGAGTCCTTGTTCACGTGACCCTCCTCCTAAGTGGTTTCCTGTCTAGGGTTCGGTGTGGTTTGGGAAGAGGTGGCCAGGTCAGACATAATGGCAGGTGTGTGGTGTACACCAGTGTAGTAGTTGGTTTTTTCACACAGCCTGCGGAAGTGAGCACACCGTACTCTGGTAACCTGTGTGTAACAAATTTCCTGTTTAAAACGGGTTGGGAATAATACTTGTCTTAGAGTAAATGATACTCCTATCCATCAGAAGACTCTATGTCTTGTCTTAGCATTGGCAGGATTAAATTTGGCCTGAAGAGTGACAGCTGTTGGTGAGGTGTCATTTTTGAATGACATCACGTCAAGTACAGCTCTGAGAACGCTGGACTTGGAGCACGAGATCTGATCTTTGTCCCTTCTTGCTCTGACCTCGCGTCTCACATGCTCTAACCCCTTGGCAGTCACCGTGTCGGGCTGTCTTGTTTGGGATCCTCTTTCTCTGACCCTCCACCTTTCCCAGCATGATGTCCTTTGCCTGGGACGAGCCCCTCCTGACAGCGTGCCCAGGTGTGTGGGGCAGACGTTAAATTTGACCATCTTTCCTTCTGAGGAGCACCCTGGCTGCACTCTGTTCTGCAGTCCATGGGCCATTGTGTACTCTTCTCCAGAGGCACCGATTCTTCCTCCTTCGTTGTTGGTACCCTTGGAAAGGGAGTGTGTGGGTACCTGTGTTAGGCTGGGGTCTCGCTTCTCCAGCACTGCCATAGGCAAGTGCCACAAGTGTCTGGCTCTAAGACATTGACTTCTCATTGCCATTTAGAAGAATTGAAGTCCAAGTTCAGAGCACGAGGCAGGGCTTTCTCTGCTAGTTGTAGGAGAAGGTCCTTGCCACCTCCACATCTGGGGCCCAGCATCCCCTGGGAGTCTCCATGTGACCTGGCATCAGCCTTCCCCTGGCCCAGAGGATCTTGGTCACTCTGCGCTGCGTGGTACTGAGGCAGCTGCCAGACCGATGACCGTCGCCACGGGGGGCGGGGGAACACATTTATTTAGGACACACAGTCCAGTCCGTGGTGGTTGGTTTGGATGAACATCCAGGTTTCTGGATTTATTAGAAACAAGATTCAAAGCGGCAGTGTAGCTGCCTCCTGTAACCGGCCTCTGGCCGTTGGCAGGTGTGAGCCGAGATGGAGCTGTGGTAAGAGTCGGTGAGAGTCTTGCACTGCTGGGTCCTTTACAGGTGGCAGGTCTGCTTGGGAACCAGGGCCAAGGGCCTGTGTCCACCCTCAGGCACGTGCTTTGCAGTTGGCAGGCCACTACAGTGGGTGACAACTGTGACATTGTGCATAATGGGCTTGGCGTGGGGACTTGTCAGTACAGAAGCCAGAGTGCCTTTCATCTGTGGACAGTCTGTTGAGTGAAGGAGAAAGTCTGACCCCAGGAGATGCCCTTTGAACTGGCTTATAGCACACTTTAGGGAAGGTGGATTTAGAATGTTCTGCAGTGGTGGCTGCTTTCAGTATAAACACTTGTTAACAGCAAAGTGGCTCTTGAGTTAATGAGGACGCTAAGAGGGCAGTCCCCATGAGCGAGGTCAGTGGGGTGGGGTTGAAGGACAATTTGTTTGGTCAGTGGTCACTGAGTAGCCACTTGAGGTCACTGCAGTGCTCTGCTGAGTACACAGGTGAACTGTGGCTGATCCCAGGTAGAACAACACTGCTGATTCTGCCCTCTAGCTGTCAAGATTAAGAAGAACAAGGACAATGTGAAGTTCAAGGTTCGGTGCAGCAGGTACCTCTACACCCTGGTCATCACAGACAAAGAGAAGGCCGAGAAGCTGAAGCAGTCCCTGCCCCCAGGTGCGTGGCTGAAATCTAGGGAGGGCTTGCTGGGATGTTCTCTTCGCCCCCCAACCGCCGGGCCTCTTCCCCTGCTCTGCTGATGCAGACTTAAAATTAACAAGGCTGCCTCTGTGCATGAGGCCTGGTCCTCGCTGCAGCCCCCCACAAGACAGGCAGAGAGATCATCCTTGTTTAGAGGTGAATGTGATGAGAACGTGAGCATAGCGTCCTAGAGGTCCTGGTACGTGGACTGGAGACTAAGGTGCTGTTGGCGAGCCAGGAGCATGTACAGGGCTGCTGGGGCCCCTCGGGGTGGTGGTTTGTACAGCTTAGACCTTGTCCAAAGTCCTTGGGAACCTTAAGTACCAAATCAAGCAGTGTTAAATGCTGACAGGTCCACTGGCTCGGAGCAGCCCTGTGAACAGCACATTTGAGCCGGCCTCCTCCTGTGACAGCTACATGGTCCTCGTCCACACCCAGTTGCATCGTCACAACAGTTTTGCTTTTGCGTGTCATTAGGTCAGATCCGACTCATAGCTGAGCCTCCAGTGCATCATCACAGGAGAGCTTTCCTTTCTCCCTTGGATTTACCTGCCTTTGGGTTGGCAGCGCAAAGCCACCAGAGCTCCCTCAATCAAACGGGTTTTAGGTCCTGTCAGAACTGACCCATACCTGACTCTATGGGGTTTTCAGAGGCAGTTAATCACACAGGAGGGGAAGGCCCATTTATCTCCCACAGAGCAAGTAGTGGATTTGAACTTCAGGCCTTTGTCTTGACAGCCTGATTGCTTCAGCTAAGCCACCAGATCTCCTTCGGTCAAATAGTAGCCTGATAAAATGCACCTTTGGGAGCACTCACCTTTGTCTTTCTCCCTCCCTCTAGGTTTGGCAGTGAAGGAGCTGAAATGAACCAACATGCTGATTTGAATTGCAATAAAATTTTTAAAAACACTTCTGTGTCCTTTGTCTTTGAGTGTGGGAAGGGATGTCGGGCTTGGCTGTAGCTTCTGGACCCTCCCTCCCTGTATCCCCAGTGTTGGCTGTGATGTCCATGGGCAAGAACACCTATCCTTTGGTCGCCAGTGTTTGGCAGTAGATGTAAGGGTGCCGGGGTGAGGCGGGAGAGCCAGGTGGAAGTGGGTCACCCCGCACACCTGGGGCTTTGGCCACCACTCAGGAAGGAGTGGCCTCTTGGAAGTGGTGGGTTCCAGCTCCTGGAAGGGAGCGAGGTACAGGCATCAGGGAAGGGAAATTTAGACTTAAGAGTACAAGCCAGTTCAGTTGAGACCTGTGTACAATAAAAGAAATTTTTGGCATGTGGGAGCCACGGCGTCGGTCCGAATCATCGCGACTTCTGACTACCCGATCGAGTAACTGGTTACCCCGATAATGTGGCCAAAGAATGAGCTCAGTCCTTTCCCTCATGTCAGGAACATCCTTGCTCCGCTTCAAAGGCAGGTTTTTTCTCCCGGCCCATGGACTATTTGGTGTTAGGTCTTTGTTCTGCCACATTCATTGTTGGTTGGGACACTAACACCTGGGGAGAATGATGAGTGGTCTGTTCGAAGGAAAGCGATCTTGGGAACGAGACCTGTTAGTGCTGTTAATTTGCTTCTCCAAAGCTGGTGATCTTGAGCGTCTCTTCATGTGTTGGCCATCTGTAGTGAGCTATCTGGAAATGTGCTCTTTGTAATGAGATTGTCTTTACTGAAGTGTTGAGAGTTTTCTGCTTAAGTTTGAGATGTGTCACTGCCAAATGTCCCATCGCAACCCCCCCCCAGTCTAGAGTTCCTTTTAATTTTTTTTTTAAAATTTGTACCGTTAAATCAGATCTGACTAGTACAGGAGGAGATGGCCCCTCCAGCAGAGCATCTGGTGGATTCGCACAGCGTACGTCTGGGATTGCAGTGCAGTGCACTAGAGCTTCCTGCTCTTGGAAAAGTCTTAATAAATTTCATTTTGGGGAGGCCCAACTTGATACCAACCCAGCAAAATTCACAAATACAAAATAACGCTAGCAAGGGTGGGAAGAATGGCCCTGATACGCTGCTGGTGGGGGTGTAAAAGGCACAGCCGCTGGAAGGCCAGTGCTCTCCTTAAGGAGCTGAGATAACTGTTTAATCCAGCATCCCATTACCAGGTATAGATCCCAAAGCAGTAAGCCGTGTCTCACACAAATGCACCCGTGTTTATTGCAGCACGGTTAACGAATTGCGAACAGCCCAAGCACGGAGTATTATTGATTGCTGTTGAGTCAAGCATGACTCGGACCCAATGAACAGAAAGACCTCAAACCTTTCTATAGCGCTCTTCAGAGTTCCTGAGGAGTTTCCAGAGGCATGCTGTTCAGGAAGTGGAGGCGGCGCCTTCCAAAATGAAGTGTTAGCATCACTAAAAAGTAACCAGGAGTTTGTGAAATATTGCACAGTATGGATGTATAAAAAACTCAGAAAGTTTACCAGAATTATTCTTGGATTGTTTACTAGGGTGGTTGGTGGTAGTATGTACATTTGAGTCGCCTTTGACTCCTAGTGACCTATGTACAACATTCTGCCCGGTCCTGAGCCAGTCTCAGGGACTGACACACCTACCCCATAACCCCAGTTGCTGTATCAATCCATTTCATCCCGTGTCTTCCTCTCCTATCTGTCCCTCCACCCTTCCAAGCATGATACCCGCTTCTAAGGACTGGTTCCTCTTGGCCATGAGCCGCAAGTCTGTGAGACAGAGCTTCAAAATCCTTGCCTCCAGAGAGAAACTTGGTTTCACTCTCCCACACAGACCTTTTTGTTCTCTTGGCGGCCCATGATGTAAGCAATAACAGCAAGGGGTCCATTGTCAAGCTCATTTCCGTTGAGGTGGAGCTGACCCTGCAGAGGGTTACCAGAGACTAAATAGCCAAGAGAATGTTTGGAGCAGCAGCTGTTGCTTATACTTTCTGCTTTGTGATTGGCAATACAGCTCCTTACCCACCAGGCCACCAGAGCTCCCTCCATCAGTTGCAGTATTGTAAAACAAAATATGAATGTTTGTAAACTTCCATTCAAAGTTAACTGCAACTAATAAAAAGTTAACAGTGAAAGGGAGGAGCGTGGGTCAGTGTGACCACCTCCAAGTGATTGTTCCTGTGATTTCTAAGGCCCAAATCTCAGTGCCGCCCAGTGGTTTAAAGCCCAGAGAGCCCCCCCCCCACTCCTTGGAATTATGCCACTTGGTAAATTGGTAAATTTTATCTGTTGGGTGGAAAAGCCATGTCGTAACTTTCACAGATTGACTAGAATAATTTCATATGTCAAGGGTCCTGTGAACAGCAGCTTGCGAGGTAGAGGAACGAGGGTAATGTGGGGACGGACCAGGAGGGGGCGCCCTAGGGCAACAGTCGAGCAGTGAGTGTCCGCTGGGATTTCACTCCTGCCTCTAAATAGAGTTATTTCCCTAATTTTATTTTTCTTGCTATCAGTTTTTTGTTTTTAATGGTATGCTTGGTATTATGCTGACTGTTCCAAATACGTTTTTAAAGGTGGTTAACACCCGTCTCTTACTATTTCTACAGGAGACTCTTAAATGGGAAAGGCACTTGGGTATCTTGTTTGTTGAAAGGTGAAGGTTTTGCCTCTTCCAGGGGACGGTGGGAGTGCAGGGGGGGGGGGCTCTGGTTCTTGACGGACCTCAGTGAGGCCCCTCCTGTCCCCCCCTCGCCTCATAAGAGAACTGTGTGGCCCCTTAAGCAGCTTTCAGCTCTGCCATTCTTTAAACGTTTAAAATTCCCAAGGAAGAGGGACCCTTTTAGGGCTTTTGTCCCTAGCACATTGTCCGCAGACCGGTCCCAGCTCCTAGGAGACCATCAGCAGGGATGTGCGGGGCCCTTGTTGAGAGAAGGCGCCCTTTCATGCGATGGTTCCCTTTATGGAAGTACCGTGGTGGCCAGGGTTGACTTGAGCGTGATTGGATATTTGGGATGTAAGTGCATTTTCAAGATAGAGGGGTTTGTCATTAGCAGCGGGGGCTGAGAGCGAGGAGCTTGGGGAGCAGGCACCACTCAGCCTGGAGGACAGACGGAGAGAGAATGGCTCGGAGGAGCGCTGATTTCCACACGTTTCTGGGCAGACGCTCACTCTGCTCTTAGCTTGGCTGGCTGAGCTGTCTCGAGGTCAGCAGGCCGCCTGGGGAGTTGCTGGAAGGAGCTGGGTTGGGACACGTGTGCACCAGCTACGCTGATTCTGGTATTCTGAGCCATGAGGCGCCCAGAAGGGGAGGTTGGTCTGCTCCTCCTCCTCTTTTTCTTCCTCCTCCTCCTCCTCCCTCCCCAGTGCCCATCCCAGCCCCCCACCTGGACTAAGCCACCCCTGGTTTAGCAGACTCTTCCCACTTGGGCCTTGGGGTTCAGCCCTCCCTCCTGTCTTAAGGCTGCCCCGATCACAGGATCACAGAATTATAATTTCTTGCTCAAAAAAACAAAACCCTCAAACTCTCCTTGCCCTCAAGTTGGAATCCACTCGCCCTCCAAGCTGAAGGGGCGAGGCTGTAAATCACAGGAAGAGATCGCCCGTCTCTCTTCCTTTGGATTCAAACTGCCGACCTTTGGGTCAGAAGCGGAACTCCTTACACATTCGGCCACTGAAGCTTCCTAGAGAAGTGGGCATTTCTTTGAACTTCTGAGCTGATAGGGGATCCATCCACTCGCACTTGGAAAGCGTAGCAGGAGGACATGCACAGAGCAAGTCTGAGACCTGGACTCCAGTTCCAACCAGCCTCAGCAGGGGACTCCTCCATGCCCTCTTCCTGTGAATGACAGAGCTCAAGTTGTCTTGGTCATCAGCCCCGGTTTTGCCCACCTGGCCTCTTAATTTGTTGGACCTCTTCCCTTTCTTGGTTAACTGCAGCCTCATTCAAACATCACTGCAGAGATGGGGCCATCAGGATGGGGCATCTTGAGAAAGGAAAACCAGCTCAGGGTGCCCACCCAGGAGCCCCCATGCAGACCCACACCTGAGGCCTCGTTTGCCACATCTCTGTCTCCACCTTTCAGCCATCTCAACAACCAGCACCCTCCCAGCATGCTCTGCAGACCGATCCCTCTGACTCCCTCTTGCTCTCCTGCCCACGTTCCTGCCCTGCTCCAGGCCTCTTCCTCTAGGAATCCCACCCAGACCTGCCAGCCAGGAACGATCCAGTCACCTCCCTAATCCCCAGTATACCTTGTCAAGAGTGCTGGTGGGAGAGCTCCTGACGGGGCAGATCTGACCACCCTGCACAAGACCAAGATGCTGGGTAAACAACCAGTGGTGAATTCAAAACAAGTGACTGAACTGCCAAGTGAATGCGGCTCCCATCTGTCTCCAAGCTGTCTGTCTGGCAGCCTGGAGGAGAATCAACCACCCCTAACAAGCTCTGGGGACAACCACTCTCCCTCTGCCTCCAGGGCCAGCACTCCCAGCACTTGTGTTCTTGATTTGATAATTAGCTATTAACAAGAAGCCTCAGGCCTAGGAACTGGAATTCAGAAACAGATTATGGAGAGATTATTGTTGTTAGATGCCCCTGAGTGGACTGGAGTAAGACTCAGGAGTATGAATGACTCAGTGACCCTATCTGCATCCTGTCCTTTCCTGTGCCAGACTCACAATCCGACACTCAAGCCCATTACTGCAGTCACTGTGTCAATCTGCCTGGTTGCGAGTCTTCCTCTCCTTTGCTGTCCCCTTGCCTTTCTAAGCATGATGTCCTCCAATGAATAGCCCCTTCTAGGAACATGCCAAAGTATGAGATAAAGCTTTATCATCTTTGCCTCCAAGGAGCACTCTGGCTGCAACCCTCTCCAAGATATTTTTGTTTATTCTTTTGGCAATGTGTGGGATATTCAATACTCTTCTCAGATGCCACAGTTCAAAGGCATTGATTTTTCTTCTGTCATCCTAATTCATTGTCCAGCTCTCAGATGCATAGCAAATGACTGAAAAGACCATGTGTGAATCAGGCACACCTTAGTCCTCAAACTAACATAATTGCTCCTCAATAATTTGGGGAGATCCCTGACTACAGACTTCCGGTGCAATATGTCTCCTGATTTCCTGGTTGCAGGTATCAAATGGATCTACGTAAGATAAAGTCGTTGACAGATTCAATCATTTATCCATCTATCATGCTATTGGTGCTGTTAGGGACCTCTCCAAAGTACTGAAGAGCAATGGTGTCACTCTGGAGACTAAGGTGCATCTGATACAGGCCATGGTCTTTGCAATCACTTGTTATGCATCAGAGAGCTGGACAATGACTAGGGAGGATAGACGAGTTGATGCCTTTGAGCTATGGTGCTGGAGAAGAGTATTGAATGTACCATGGACTGCCAAGAAAACAAAAAGATTTATCCTGGAGAGGCTTAAACCGGGCGGCTCCTTGGAGGCAAGGATTCTGGGGCTTCGTTTGACATACTTTGAACATGTTGCAAAGAGGGACCGGTCCTTGGAGAAGGATATCATGCTTCGTAGGGTGGGGGGACAGCACAGGAGAGGAAGGCCCTCTATGAGGTGGATTGATTCAGTGACTGGGGTAATCGGGATGGGTGTGTCGGAGGCAGTGCGATTGGCACAGGATAGAGCAGGGTTTAGGTCTATTGTGTATAGGGTCGTTATGAGTCTCAAGCAACTCAAAGGCACATAACAACAACAGCATGCTATTGTCACATAACTAGCAAGATGCTGCACTGCAATCCTGAAAGCACCGGGTGCCTGGGTTCAAGGCCAGCAGCTTCTCTGAGGGAGAAGGCTGGGCAGTCTCCTCCCATGTGATTAACTGCCTCTGAAAACCCGCAAGAGGGTCAGCTGTGAGTGTACACAACAACTTTGAGATAGCCAAACAAAGCTATCAGTTGTTAAAAACATCAGCCTAGTGGCAAGTATTTTTGTTTTCATGATCTAGAGATACAATCCCTATTGAAGGCTGCAGTGTTTAACCTTCTGCACCAAGTGCTTCAAGTCCTCATTTTCAGAAACCAAGACTATGTCAACATAACAATTTTTAAGTCTCTTATTGATGAGTCTTTTCCAATCCTGATACCCCATTCTTCATAGAATTCAGCTTCCTGAATAATTTGCTCAGCATATAGATTAAATCGGTCCGGAGAAAAGATACAACCCTGACCTACACCTTTCCTAATTTTAAGTCTTGTTTCACGGGGTGACTGCCACTGTGGGCTCTTCTGTGTCTAGAAGTGTGAGGATGGCGCAGGATAGAACAGGGTTCAGATCTTTTGTTCATAGGATCGCTATGAGTATGCCAGCACCTAACAACAACCTAACAGTGTTCCCTTGATCTGTAGGCACAACAGCTTCTTGGTCTAGGTGTAGGTTTTGCATGAGCCTAGTTAAGTGTTCTGGGATTATTCCCATTCTTCTCAATGTTGGCTGTAATTTATGATCACACAGTCAAACGCTGTTTCGTAGTCAATAAAGCCCAGGAGCGCCTTTTTCCATCTTTTTTGCCTTTGGAGACCCAGGCCCAGAAGGGGGTTGGTTGTGAGCGCTGGGGAGGGACAACTGTGAAGCAACCAGTGGGGTGAGGGGGGTGGAGCTACGCTGGAAATGGGGCGGGGCCACGAGCCTGGGGCGGGGCTCTATGTTGGGGTGGAGCCATAAGCCTGAGGGCGGGGCGCGTGGTTGGAGGCGGAGTCATAGGCCTGGGGCGGGGCTCGGAGCTATGGGACTGGGAGGGGCGAGCACCGGAGGCGGGGAAGGGGCGGGGCTTGTGGGCGGGGCGGGGCTAGGGCTGGGCGCGCGCGGAGGCCCAGCGGCAGCGGCGGCGGCAGGCAGCGGGGCCGCAGTCGGGCCGAGCCATGCCGGCCGCGCGAGTGGACTACATCGCGCCCTGGTGGGTCGTGTGGCTGCACAGCGTCCCCCACGTCGGCCTGCGCTTGCAGCCCGTGGACAGCACCTTCAATCCCCGCGACGAGAGCTACCAGGAGGTGAGTCCGCGCTGCCCGGGACCCAGATCAGGGCGGCCCGAGGCCCCACGTACCCCGCCTCCGCGGCCAACTGCTTCCCCGCTGCGTCCAGACGCGTCCCTGGCCTCCTCGCCGGCCTTGCCCCTTCACCCTTGTCTCCTTTCCCCCTGACCCTTAGCCCACAACCCCTCCTATCTTGGAACCTCCGGGGCTGGGAGCGTTGGGAAGACGGGGTGCAGCCCGGCGGTCGGGGCGTGGGACTGAGCGCCCGGGGCGAAGGCTCGCGTGGTCGGGCGAGGGCATCTGCGCCTCCTGGGGTGATCCGGACCCCGGGAGGCGGGGTGCCCAGCGGAACTTGCGCACTTCTCCCCCTTCCAAAGTCTCCCGGAGGCCCGGGGCGCGCGGTGCGGGGCGCGCAGGGCTGGAGAAGTCGGGGCGCTGGAGAAGTTGGGGCCCTAACTGCCCGAGTCCCAAGTTCCCGGAGCAGAGCTGCTCCCGTTCCTGCTGGCCTTTGCCCGACAGAGTGGGACGCTGGCTGCTGCGGACCCCGGCCCAGGCGCCCCCGGAGGAGCGCAGGGCCCGGGGCCGGGGTGGTGGACAGGGGTGGTGGGCTGTCGCCCTCGTGGCCTGAGAACCTCAGGGCGTGTTTGCGGGAGAGGGCAGCCTGCGATCGGACCCTCTTGAGTTGCCCACCTCGTGTTGTTGACACTCATATCTTCTCTTTGTCCTCCTCCAATGCGTCCTGCCCCCTCCCCCAGTCTGTCCCACGCACCTCGGGCCCCACACCCACCACATTATTTAGAGGACCCTCGAGTTTCTAGAGCCCTAGCTTGTTGGCCAGCCCCTCCCCTTGGACTTCTGCCCGTTCCTCTCTCTCTGCATCCCTTCCCCCCTGCGGCTTGCACGCCTTGGACTTCCAAGTGGGGAGGCCCCCCCAACCCTGCTCCCATCCTTCTCGCTCAACGTTAGGTCTGGCCGTGCTCGACCCTGTCCCCAACTCCCGTCTCTGTTGGATCAAAGATTCCAGAGTGACACTCAACTACACATCTGGGGACTTTGGCCCCAGTTCCCAGGCGCGCAGTAGGAAGTTCTCAGGCGCGAGTACCCCCTTGGAGCTGGGCGGCGTCTCTGTGGCCAGAGGCGGGGATCCACTGTTGACCGCCCGCCACCCCCACCCCGCTTTGCTCCTGCAGACCCTCAGGATCTGATCTGGTGCAGTGTGAACTGCCTTAGGTGGCCAGCGACAGCAGGCAGAGGTCTAAGAATAACCTTTGGGCCCCTGGCACCTCAGTGCCTGCCCAGGGACTGGAGGGTCAGCCCCTGTCGTGCTGGATCTGAACGTCAGGCGGGGAGTGGAGGCCATCGATTCAATCCCCCTAATCTGTCTGCCCCGCCCTCGCCCCAACTGCTTCTGGAAGTCGCCTGGGGCTGCCTGCCTAGCGCGCCTGGGGATCTTCCGCTCGGGGTGAATGCTTGACAAGCGGCGGATATGATTTCAGAGACAGCTGTGTGCATGTGCATGTATGTGTGTGTCCCACTGTGTCCCTCCCACACTACCCTAGATCCCGGGCTGGGGTCCCGCAGTCATGGTCTTCTCCTTACTGATAGGAATCCGTCCTCAGAGTGGGTCAGGAAGATCCCTAGGTGGCGGCTAGGGGTTCAGGGTGTACCCCACTCTCCACCAAAGACAACAGCTGTCGGGCCAGCGTTATGGCCGCTGGGACCAGGGCCTGCCTCAACCTCCAATCCCATAGGCAGGTGGCAGCCGGTCAGGGAGTCCCACTTGCAGGCCCAACCTTCTCTGAGGGCTCTAGGCAGCCCCTGGCCATCAACCTCTCTTCCTAGGCAGTGGACACAGACTCTTCGAGGAGTGGGAGGGGATGGGGTGGGCAAGGACGGGAAGTCTGGTCCCGGCTGTTATTTAAGGCAATTCCTATTTTGGTAAGCCCTCCTGTGGTGCAAACACGGAGTCCCCTGCACGTCTGTCAGTCACAGGCAGGTGGCAGGTCTGTTAAAGCATCGATAGGGCTCCTCCACTGTCCACCATCCACTCAGTAAATTTTGAGGACAGTGCTCTCCAGACAGAGTGACATCAGAGCAGATGATGCCTTCAGCTGCATTCTCTAGGGCTGGGCTCTGGGCTTGGTGATGCAGCCTCAAGCAGGGGGGTTAGGGTGGGGGGGCTCTGCCACCCACTGTCTGGGTTAGAATCTAAGTTCTGTCACTTGCTGTGTGACCCTGGGCACGTGTCTTAACCTCTCTGAGCCCCACTTCCCTCATCTGCAAAAGAGCCCAAGTAACATACTTAGTATATAGCTCAAGTAGGACCCAATGACGTTGTTGTTGTTGACATCGTCGTTGTTGTTGTTGGTAGTGGTGGTGGTGATGTTGTTGTTGTGACCATTGAGTCAGAACTGCGTGTTTTCAGAGGCAGTAATCACACTGGAGGAGATTGCCCATCCTTCTCCCAAGGAGCCTATCTAGTGGATTCGAACTGCCTACCTTTGGGATTGCAGCACAGAATATTACCACTAATAGTTGATAGGAAGGAGGAAGGAGATCTTGAGAGAGTGTTCGGGGAAGAGGAAAAACACTCTCAGAAATGGCTTCACCTTTCGAAGGGAACCTGAGAAAACACACACACATACAACCACACACACAGAACCACAGACTGGAGCTGGATGGAACCCAGTGCCCTGGGGAGGAGCTCAGGGACCAGAGTTGTAGGGAGGACCAAAAGGCAGAGAGCAAGGAGGACCCAGAGAGCACGGACGGCTCCTGAGTGACTCGTGCACTGACCTGGGGTCCCTCCTGTTGAAAGTAAGAACTTGGAGGAGGTGGACACTCCCACCTACACTGAGGTTTTTGGGAGAAGAAATGAGGGAAACCTCGTGGTCACTGCTTCTAGCACCTCTTCCCAGGGTAGCCTTGAGGCCGAGTCCTCAATAGCGCCGCCTCCCTGTGTCCACCAGCTGCGTCTTCCAGGAGGAGGCTTGACCAGCAGGGAAGGTCAAGGTGAGCTGCAAGGTGTGGCAGGTAGCTCTGTGTCTTGAGAGGACACATTGAGACCTCTCAGCTGCGACCTTCTGATCTGTTAACGGGGGTAGTAAGAGGAGGACTCAGTAAGTTTGTGGGTATAAATCTTGTGTCCAGTGCTGGCTTATTCTAAATTATCACAGGTCACTTCTATGGGGGAAGGAGACCCCAGCTGGCCAGGAGTCCACCAGGCAGCGTTAGGATAACAGCAGGGACACCAGGTACTCCACCTAGTTTATCCCCAGACATGCCACTTCAGTGTTTTCCTCCTGGAGGTGTTAGTGCCGCTGTCACCCCTCACCACCACATCAGACTCCCCGCATTCATGCACTGGGACCCCTCAGTAAACTCGGGGCACAGGGCATGCCTCAGTCCTAACTGCTTTCCACCCACGTAAGCCACATTTGCTCAGAGCACAAGCCCCCTTCTCTGGGGATGAGAGAACCCAGTTTTCACATCTTCTGTCCTTGAGTGATTCATTTCTGTTCATGTTATTGTTGTGTACTGCCAGGTCAGACTGACCTATAACTGACCCTCCAGCGGCTTTTCAGAGGCCGTTAATCACATCAGAGGAGATTGCCCATCTTTCTCCCAAGGAGCAGCTAGTGGATTCGAACCATGTACCTTTGAGTTGCCAGCTCAACTCCTTACCACTAGGCCACTATAGCTCCCTATTCCCTTTGTAGCCTTCTCCAAGCCACCCCCACTGCCGTCAAGTCCTTTCCTCCGACTGGTTTCTACAAACCTTAATGGGAGGAGACGGCCACATCTTTTTCCCACGGAGCGTTGGTGAGTTCAGACTGCTCACCTTCCTGGTGGCTGGCTTTGGGACATCTAAAGGCACTGCACCACCAGAACTCCTGTCCCCTCCCTAGAAAGTCCCAGGGTGGTCCTCAGGCCCGTGAAAGGGCAGGATGGGGCACAGAGCCCCTCCTCCGTGGAGGCTAGGCAGCGAGCCCAATTTTCCGGCAACTTGAGGGGGCAGAGGTTGAGATGAGGAAGCCCCATTCATCCCGTCTGAACACTGAGTCACTGTCACCAGACAGTCATGCTGGCCCGAGGCAGGGGGCAGCCTCCTTCTGGCCCCCACCCCACCCTAGATTGCCTCTCGTCTAATATCTCTGGAGTCTTGGGGGGTCCAGGGCTCAGGTGTCCTGCCTTCCTCTGGTGCAGAAACCTCAGTGTCCAGATGCGTTGTTATTCCTAGAGACCAGCATGTCCAAACCAACCCATCGCAGACCCTCCAGCAGGTTTATCAGAGGCTGTAAATGGCGCAGAAGATTGCCCGTCTTTCTCTTAAATGAGGATCTGGTGGATTCGAACTGCATGCCTTTGAACAGCAAAACTTCCTAGGTGTCCAAATCTAGCGTCCAAAAGAAGCCACAAAAATACCCACCAAACCCAAACCCTCTGCTGTTAAATCGATTCCAACTCACAGAGAACCGCCCAGAGCATTCGCAGACTCTCACTGTCAGAAGCAGAGGGCCGTACTTTCTGGTGGGTTTGAACCTCTGACCTCTCGGTTAGCAACCCATCATGTAACCACTAGGACACCTGGATCCGGCACCTGCAATTGTAACTCAGACCCCACTGATCCCCACTTGCGTCCTGGGTTGGTGATTTCCTGCTCTGGGTTCTTGCTGCCAAGTACCAGGTGTCTGTCTCCCCTTGAAGTCCCTTTGCTGAGCGGAGGGAGAAGCCGTGACAGCCTTGTGTGGTGGGGCTGTGGGCTCGGTGGGGCTGAAGTGGGTGAAGTGGGAGCCGAGCCCGTGAGTCCCTCTGGGGTTGGAGGTTCGCTCACCCCGTGTACCTGGAGACTTGCAACGTTAATTAGCAGCCAGCGGGGAGGTGATTGCTTATTAGGGAGCACTGAGACTTACCCTGTTCCTGTGAGTCAGCCTTCAGTCGTCCTCCCCCTCCTTTCACTCCTCCTTCCTAGTCTCCTCTACACCCTGGCCCACCTTCCCTTCCTCACCTCCCCACCC